GCGTCGTGCTCATCCGGAGCCGCAAAGTGGGGCTCGTCAACCGCCTGGTGCAGCTCGCCATCCTCGCCTACGTGATCGGGTGAGCGCGGGAGAGCCGCCCCACGCCGCCTCGCCTCAGGGTGCCTGCCCTCCCCTCCGGCCATGCTGCCAGCGGGGGAGGCTCCTGGCCCGGGCCCTCGCGCTGGGGCTGCCACGACATGGCCGCCCCTCCGCGCTCAGGAGGGCAGGAAGGGGCCGCGCAGGCCGGGATTTGGGAGAGCCCCGTTCAAAGGCAGCAACTGCAGAGCATTCCAAAACCTGGTCATTGCTGCGGGAATAAGGGGGGTGTCAGGGGGCAAAAGGATATTGGAGACATTTTGTGTAGGAAAAAACGTCTGGGGAGCTGTAGGGACACCTGCCCTGTGTCATCAGTGACAGTTGAAGGAGACGTTTCTTAAGCCGGTTTGGGTTTAAGTCAAAATTTGTCAGCCCACAAAGGGTAAAAATGGGCACAGGAAGCATTTTTGATTTTTAAAAGCAAGCCAAACAAAAATCTGCAATATTAAAATAATCATAGTAATATTTTCCTAACATTCGTGGTATTCCTGTGGCCCCATCCCTGTGAACAAGAGGAGAATGGGTGTTGCTCCTGCTGCTCATGGCAGCAAAGATTTTGCTGCATGTAAAACCTTCCTTCTTTACTGTTTTCTCACTGTGGACTGCTCGATTTATAAATATATGTATATTTATGTGAAACATCTATGCAAACTATAAATTTAAACTTAATTTCTGCTTGTCCTGAGATGCTTTCTGCAAAGATCAATCCTTCGCTAGCAGCTGAGGATGCGATTGTATAGCTTGTACACTAAATGTCAGCTGAAACCTCAAAACTGTGCTTATTATTTAAGGCAGGCAACCTTAATGATCTTCACCTGGTGCGTGTTATTGTGTGTATATCGTCACAGCTGTGGACCCAGATGTGAGCTGCTTCTAGTCAAGCCTGAAATTGAATTTAAAGCTCCAAACTTTGGCTCTGTGTTTGCTTCCTTAAGTTCTTAGGTATTGATGTGCTTTTCTTGAGAAGCACCAGGGCTAGGTTTCTTTCCTCCTGCAAAAGTTCTCAGTATATAACAGTTCTCAGTATTGTAGGTGCTGAGAAGATGAAAAAAAAAAAAGGTCAACAGTACCAAACCACTCTGAAGAAATCATCATGGAGATTGCTGGTTCTGTGCCACATTCATAGTTTCACATCATTTCTCTATCTGGGCTGGCCCTTTCAAGTGACTTGGTGAAAAAGGAGACATTCCCACTGGCTGTGATAGCTTATGGTGTTTTTCTATTTTGTTTTCTTGCAGCTGGGTCTTTGTGTGGGAGAAGGGCTACCAGGAAACAGATTCTGTGGTCAGTTCTGTAACCACAAAGGTGAAGGGAATAACTTTGACAAACACCTCCAGCTTGGGAACCAGGATCTGGGATGTAGCTGACTATGTGATCCCTCCTCAGGTATGAATCTCTTTTACCTGCAGCAGTTTTCTAACAATCAGCCACTGCTTTGCCCCAGTCCACTGTGGTCTGGAGCAGCTTCTGCACCAATGTGGTCCATCTGCAGGAGGAAGTAGCAAATGAAACAGCTTTGCTTTGTCCCAGATCAGCCTGAGCATCTGCAGTTCCCAGGGGAAACTTGCTTTAAGGAGGGAGAGTGTGTAGGGGAGAGAATACTGCAGTCTTCAGGGAAATAGCTGTGACAGTAACCACATGTCCTCTCTCCTTCTCTCTAAAGCAAACTGTTCAACATTAACTTGCTGGCACAAACTCTAGGGGTAATTTGCAAGTCACTTGATCCGGAACTGAGCAGGAAGCATTGCTCTAAGTTACTGATTGACGTGTCTCTGGGAATCTGCGCCGAGCAGGCAGTGCGTGGCCGTGGGCGCTTGCAGGCACGGCCGGGCTGCCGCTCACGGTGCACTCTGTGTTCATGAGATGTGGTGCAGAAATAAGTGTCAGATTTAGCCACATTTTGGCTGGATGATTGCGTTGTTTACAAATCGGTAGTGCAAAAGCAAACAACAGATCCCAACCGTAGGGATCTGAAAATAATGGAGGTAGTGATCCCTGCAGAAACAAACCAACAGTGTTTAAATTCAATCAGGTGATACAGTGGGAACCTCTTCTTTTAATGCTAAACCTGCACTGTCCAAAGCAAGTCTGCCTGTCAGGGCCACCTGGGCTCTGTCAGGAAAAAAAACAGTCTGAGAAGCACTTTGATTACTCTTTGCAAATTGCCACACTTAAATTTCTTTCTTGTTTTGCACGTTCAGGGAGAGAACTCTGTGTTTGTCATGACAAATGTGATACTCACACTGAACCAGATGCAAGGCCGCTGCCCCGAGGTAGGTACAAGAGCTGCTTGGCTGTAGAAGGATCTAATCTTGAGCCATGTGCATTAAAGCGTATGTGTAGGGGAGGGTTTATGCAGTTTAGGGTAATTATTGTTCCTCTCCAGCTTCCAGATGATACAACAATATGCACAGCAAAGGAGGACTGCGCTCCGGGATACGTTGGCACCCACAGCAATGGTAGGAAGGCTGCTGCAGAGGCTCCTTTCTGTCTGTGTTGTGCTATCTCTGGGCTGTGCTTTTATTCCTGTGAAGGCAGTTGTGTTTCACTTGAGTCCCTTTGCCTTCTCTCTATTGCATCTCAGAACTTAAAAGGAACCTCAGATCTTTCTTCTTGGGGAAATCAGATAGACCCCTGCTGAGTAGATGCTGGGTAGATGCTGGACAGATGAGCACTTAGCAAGCCATATTTCACACACGTAATTGAGAATTTGATTCAGAAAAGGAATTGATTCCTCTTTCTGAACTTGTGCTACAAATTGCACTGGAAGATAATGAATGAGGGGACTGGGCAGTGACATTTTTACCTCTGAGCAGATTGTTCTCACGTTAGGTACTGAGGAGACATGACAGGGCCTCTGTTTTCTGCTTGTTAGTGTCTCCATTTTAATGTGTTTCCAGGCATTCAGACTGGGGAGTGTGTACTATATAACAGCAGCATCAAGACCTGTGAGATCTTTGCATGGTGTCCTGTGGAGAATGACTCTTATATTCCCAAGTGAGTGCCCTGTCTTCCTACCTTGCCTTGGCCCTTGGGAGAGGAGGCCAGCAACATACAGCCAGGCAGGCTACAACTGGTATTTTTCCCTATGGTCTTCAGTTGGGAAAAGCTGAAGAGGTCATCACCACAGCCCCTGCAAACATTGTGACAGATAAATCAAGCAGGGCCACAAAGGGGAGAAGTATGGGAATGGGGGAAAAAATGAGACCTGTCACTGCCTGTTAGCAGGAGCAGTCACAGTGGGGGTCACGCTTTCCAAAGCCAGCTCTGTGCCCAGCTGGGTGACAGATGTGACTCACCAGCGCTGTGGGAGACAGTTGCATCAGGTCAGATGAGTAACATGGAGCAGTGGAAGCAAACTTCATGTTCAGTAGCTCTGAGTGATGCCCCGTTTACTACCCGTGGCGTGCAGCAAGGACTGCCTAGCAGAGCTATTACCTGTGATTCAGAGCCCCATGGTGTTACAGAGTTTGCCATTGCAGTCACCTCAGTAAGCACAGGATTAAAGACAGCTAGTTTGTCATCCAGCTTCTCTGCAGCTTAGAGCATCCTGTTTGCTACCTGTACATGCATGCTGCAGCCGGGAGAGTAACTCTACACTGGGGTATTGCTGCAGTGTCATGAGGTTCTTGAAGACTGACGTGAGATTTTCCTACTTGCCCTGTTGTTTTGCAGGCCAGCGTTCCTACAAGAAGCAGAGAACTTCACCATTCTAGTGAAGAACAACATTTGGTATCCGAAGTTCAACTTCACCAAGTAAGTAGTGTGTGATGCACAGCATTCTCTGGGCTCTTCAAGTCAAGTCAAGGGGAACTGGAGAAGTGGGAAGAAGATGTAACAGATCTCTCTCTCTCTCTGTTCCCTTGTAGGCGAAACATCCTCCCCACTATCAACTCCACCTACCTCAAGAACTGCATCTATGACTCCCAAACAGATCCCTTCTGTCCTATCTTCCGCTTAGGGAAAATAGTTGAAGCTGCAGGGCAGAACTTCCAAGAAATGGCTGTAGAGGTATTTGGCAGACCCTTCTCTTGAGGCTTTGCTCTTTGAAAGAGGAGCAGGAGGTGGTGTTCCCCTGTGCTTGGTGGCATGAACACAGAACACAGAGTGGCTGCAAAAGGGAAAGCACCTCTGACTGGAGGTGGGGGCTGGAATAAATTCTACTTAAATATTTGGCCTTAACTGATTTGGATGGAGATAAATGCAAAGTAAAGACCTCCTGTGGCAGAGGGGAAGAGTGTTTGACTGGGCCCATGACATGGGCTGGTAAACTGGGGTCCTAGTCAGATGGCAGCCTTCTGCTAGGCTGACCAGCCAGCCGCTTGGATGCTCCTGCTCACCTTCCCTTCCCTCTTCTGCTCTGCAGGGTGGAGTCATGGGGCTGCAGATCAACTGGGACTGCAACCTCGACAGAGCTGCTTCCCACTGCGTGCCGAGGTACTCCTTCCGTCGCCTCGACAGCAAGGACTCTGCCCACAATGTGTCACCTGGGTACAACTTCAGGTAATGTGCCTGTGGAAGGTGGCCCTGCTGTCCCTGTGGCTCAGGCTTCCGCTAGGACAGTGATACAGGCAGCCCGCACTCTTCTGACCTGATCACCGTGGAGGTGTATTGCTCAGGGAGTTTTTCTGATGCTGTAAAAGCTAGAGCATGTCAGATGCTCACTGTGTATAAGTCAGAGCAGAGGGGGAGGTCAGTGAAGTTCCAGCTAGTGCATTAGATTGCCTGAGTCACACTTGCTTCAGCACTTAGGAGCCTGTTCGGGCTGGCCTCCTGTGGCGTGTCAGCGTGACAGCTGATCATCTTAATGTGCATTGTGGCAGTCTTTGAGGGTGGCAGTGGGGAAGGGCGGGAGAGTGAGGGGGCCTCCTTCAGCATGCAAAAATATGTGGAAAACCTCCACTAACTGCTACAGAAAGTGGGACTGTCAGTTGAAGAGCAGCTCTACACTAAAAGCATCCTCTCACCATACAGCCCTGCAGTCCAGCTGCCCAGTGTGGACATGTCAGCACCTCCAGTAGAACAGTGAGTGCAGAACTAGATCATTAGCTGTGTCAGGGGCTCAGAGCTATAAATACGAAGTGGTCACAATCCTGCTTGTGAGGAGATAACGCATAGGGCTATGATATGTTTCTAAAATCACAGACTCAGTTAGCCGAGGGACTCTTGGTGGCAATAGTGTGAGTTTACTGCCATCCAGGGCTGTGATCTTGGTTCTGCTCAACCCCTCCTTCCAACAGGGTCATAGGAGGCTTCTTTTTGGATGTGGGGGGAGACTGGTGCCATGAGAAAGCTGATGGGACAAGGGCGGCAGGTCTGCAGTGTGTGGGTGTCAGGTGTGCCGAGGCCACGGGGCTGGTGCTGTGCTCAGGCCAGAGGAGCTGGAGGATGCAGCAGCCCGGCTGGTGGAAGCTCTGAAGAGCTCTTGCTCATTCCAGAACGTGGTGCAGCCTCATACCAATCACCCTTCTTTTCTTCTGCCCTTTTCGCTGCTTCTTCCTGGCTTAGTCAACCATGTGACAGAGTAAGTCTGATCTCACTTGTTTGTCCTGCTCCCTTTTCCCCATCATTGGCCTGCGAGTCACGTTGTGCAGGTCCCGTGCGTGCGACGCTGCTCCTCGCTGCATGCTCCCGGCCCTGCCCTCTCGCGGCTGCCGGCTCCCCTGCAGCCTCCTGCCTGCCCTAGCCCAGGAAGCCGAGTCCAATGCAGCTGCTTTTCTCCCCTCCGTCCTTGTCCTTCCCTGCTGAAGCTAACGGGCTCCCCTGCCTACGTTGCAGAAGTCTCCTGCCTTGGCTGATGCTAGTGGCTGTCTTAAACTAGCTTAAAAAGCCTGGGCTTTTCTCCTTAAAGTGTTTGCCTGCATGTAATCTCCCTCCATCATTTGTGGTTTGACTCTGGAAGTACATTTATTCATCCATCCTCTTGGGAGGGGAGACATGCCTGGGTATTGCATGAGGTTCATTTCAGCAATCCAAAAATTCCCAGCTATACTTTGACCCATCTTTTCTTCAGGTTTGCAAAATACTACAAGGATCAGAACGGCACTGAATCACGGACCCTTGCCAAAGCTTATGGCATCCGCTTTGATATCATAGTGTTTGGAAAGGTAGGACACCTTGATTCCTAGCAGTCTTGGGGCTTTCAGAGATGTTAAAAAAAACCAATCACCTCTGTAATTGTCTTCTAGGCGGGAAAATTTGACATAATTCCTACAATGATTAATATTGGCTCTGGCTTAGCACTGTTTGGAGTGGTAAGTGACACTGTCAGCGCTTGGGCTGAATTCTGAGTTGGTGCCTCAATTCTGAGGAGGGTTATCTAAGCTCTTCCTTTTAACATTATCTTCAACACATAGGCAACCGTCCTATGTGACATTGTTGTCCTGTATTTCATGAAGAAGAGATATTACTATCGGGAGAAGAAATACAAATATGTGGAGGATTATGAACTGGTAAGCAGCACAAAGGCACAGCAAAGTCAAATTTGCTTGGGAGGGATTCTCTGAAATGGTATGTGTGAAGTTGATGGCAAACATAGACTTCGTACCGCAGCTTGGAGAAAATTCTCTCTTCCTCGGAGAAGCTCATTTCTGCCTCACATCCTTGGAGGGGAGAAGCAATATAGGAAAAAACTGTCATGTTTCCTGGGTAACCACTCTTCAAGAGGGAAGTGAATGTTCTCAAGAACTTGTAACACTCCCTCCCCACCCTTCTTCTGGGTTGCAGTCCTTGGCAGTTGCCTCCTGCCTACTGCAGACAGCTCTACTGTCCTCATCAAATCCTTTCTCCTTGGGCTTTTCAGGGGCTCCTGCTGCTCTGACTAAATCCATGACATGTGCTGCTATTCTCTCGCTCCTCCCTAAGAAGCTAAATGATCCTTTCATTCAGGGTTTGGATTTAGGCCTCCTTGTCTCTTGTGAGGTTGCTTTCTTGGTGCTCGGGGTAGAGCTGTGCCCTGCAGGCCCCTCAGTAACATGAGATAGTGCTGCAGGGGGTGAACCTTTTGCCCGAGATCAGGCTCTGTGTACAGAGACAGTGTGCTGGAGAGGAAGGGGCAGAAAGTTTCCATTTTTCTGTCTAGTTACCATTTTTCAGTCTGTCAAAGCTAGGTGAAAGAGGCTGTGATGCTGCATATACATCATTCCTAGCAGAGAACTAATCTCCAGTTCTTACAGGGTGGCAGTGAGAAATATGGAACAGACTCCTGACCTCCTGCTGCTGCAGTCCCAACTGCTGACTGTGAAGTGCTGCTGTGAATGTTACTCTGAACCTGCCATGAGAAACACTCCCCTTTCTGAGGGAGGAGGAAAGAGGGAACAAACCCTGTTCACTACTTGCCACCACTGCTGGCCCGAGCCTACCCTCAAAGAGAAGAACTGGATGTGCTGCCCCTCTTCTGTTTTTCCAGGGTAACTTTGCAAAGCACAGATGGATGCTGTTGTGCACAACAGCACAAGCACAAGCTCCCTAGGCCAGAGACTGTCGCAGTCATTTCAACAACCCTTCCTCTGAGGTCAGTGCTAGCAGAGAGCTGCAAAGGCCTTAACAGCCACAGATTCTTCTATAGAGTGACCATGGCCCCTGCCAGGTGTTGCCTGGCCTCAGTACTGTTATCAAATCATTTTTTCTTACTCTGAAGAATCATTTAACTAAGTTTAGCTAAGACTATATCCCCTATTTATCACTGCAGTGGCCACAAGCCAAGTTAATGCTGTGTCCAGTCTTACAGCAGTGAGTGGTTTTGGGTGAATGACTTACTGTTTCCAAGGTTTTTCCCCTGCCCTGTTTGGCTCGTCTTATGCTACTATTTTAAAGTTGAATGTTATTTTAAATAAAGTACTACCCTCTGTGAGAAATCTTGGAGGCCAGCAAGCTGTTTTTCTTCCCCAGGTCCCAAAAGGCCTGGGGCCCATTAACTGCCTTCACTTTACACAGCAACATCTCTTACTAGTGCACTTGCTCCATTTGACTTAAGTGCATTTGTTGAGTGCTACCTTCAGGGCACTCTCGAGCTGCCCTGGCAAGAGCACTGCCATGCAAAGAACAGCTCTTCCTTTCTCTGAATCTTTTCTAATATTACAGTTCTGGAAGTTATTCCAGACCTTGGACATCTTGCTGCCTTCCCCAGCAGTGCAAGGGGTGTCCTGCAGCATCACCTGGTGCCACGGAGCAGTTTTGTCTCATTCTCTGTCTTGATACCATCTGCCCAGCACTGCTGAGCACTAAGCTGAGAGTAACAACTCGGAGCAGTGCTGCTCCAGGAGTGAGCTCTCCAGTGAGTGTAACTGGCTCAGTTTCAATTACACAATGTCAAACCCCTCCTCCCCTTCCAAAAAGCAAACACCTAGAGCTTGCTTCAGACAGGTAAAACAAGATAACGGCTCCACTTGATAGACTAACTCTGGGTTTGGTTGTATGTTGTTTATTTCAACTTGTACAGAGAAGCTTGAACAGCTGTATGGAAAAAAAAAACACACCTATTTTTGTTTCCTTAGGTAATATAATTTAAAAGTGATAAATACACAGTATTTAAACTTGATACACCTGATAAAGTTAAATGCATAATAAAGGGGTAGGAATGAAACACAAGCCTCAGTCATTAAACAAAACAGTATAAAAATCAACAATAGTTTCAGGACCTTAGAAAAGAAATAGATCAATTGCCTGATAGGTAACAGGGGGTCCACCAAGAAAAACTACTCAAGAGGCCTGGTTTCCCCTTAGCACTTTCCCGTGTGCTTTCAGAGCCAAAAAGGCTGAATATCCAGCAGCAACCAGTCAGTCAGCACTGGTCTTGCTTAAAAGGAAGGGAATTGGGGAAAATCAAGCTGTAACCCAGTTTCAAGGCACAAGCAAAATGTTTACTCTAACTTTGAAAACAAAAACAAAACAAAAACAAAACCGCTTGACTACTAAACAGCAGATACAGAACAGAGCAGATTTGTATATACAGTACAGCTTCTCTAACAGGTCATGCATTTAGATAAGAGATCTTTCTCACACATCCAAGGGTTTATACTTTCAACAGAATTAATGAACAAGGAAATCTACATCAAATTTCAATCATCAGAAATGTGCATTTGGCTGCAGCCTTACTGGAGCTGATGCTAACAGACAGTCATTTTGAGGTGAGTTTAAGGAAGTGCTGAGCTTTCAGATGCTTCTAACCGAGGCCTCCACCCTGGCCTTAGGGCACTGATCCATGCTGTAAGATGATGCCCAGTATTCCTGTGGCTGGGCATTCAGGAACTGGGATAGGTTATTTTATTTAGAAGCTGCATTGTACCTAGCAAGCCTGTTTGCCAAGTTTAAAGTATCTCGCTAGGCACTTGCCAAATCACAAAAAAAAAATGAAATATTCAGCACTAAGTATCTCTACAGCTCACTTTTAACAAAAACATGCCACACACATTACTTTGCAATGGCTATAAGCAGTCAGATTTCCCACCACCACCAGAACAAGTCCATTTACAAGGCTACAGAACCAAACTGAGCATTTTCAATCAGTTGTTTGATTGAAATCACACACAATAAAATCACCACAACAAAGAGCCCTCTTTTAGGGGGTGGGTTGGGGAAGTTTGCAGCAGTTGCAGTGCTGACATGCGTTACCTGCATGTGAAGGTGCAGAGCTTTGGCATAGCCTCAGACCAAACTGGGAGGAAAACTGTGTGCTTCCTGGCTTCAAACTCTGTAGTACTGCCCCTAAACCACAAGCCTCTGCAGAAGCTGTGATCTCGGGCTTTGGGGAACGGCCAGCAGTATGATTTTTTTGGCGATAAAATGAAATCTAGGGGAAGCGTTGCTTTCTGCGATCAGAAAACACAGGGGGACCTCCTGAACATGGCCAGTTTGTGCAGGCACCTGTGCATTTCTTAACCAAATCAGTGGCAGGACTGAGAGAAGCAGCCAGACCTTTTCCTTTCCTCCAGCCACAACTGCACTGACTGCATCTTCCACACAAGTTTTGAAGCCAGAGTCTATCCTGACACGTGTCACTGAGGTTTTACAAGCACCACAAATTAATCAGAGTAATCTGACTGAAGGTGAAAGAGTTCTTCAGGTCTTCATAAGAAACAAGCCATGTATTAGGTATACACTTAATTTATCAAGCTCAGCTAGCAAGCCCTTGATCCACAGGCATTCACAAACTACTGGTAACGAACTTGCAAAAAATACCTAGTGTTGGCCCCCAAAAATACAAATTAAGAGTCTGGAAAATAAAAGTTTCTTTGAAAATTAGTAGCTTATCTACATAATTCGTCAAGATCTTAAATTCTAAGCAAGCTCTAAATCTATACTTTAAAAATAGCATAAGTATTGTATTATTTTTAATTGCAGTAAACCATGTAATGTACATGGAAGTGAAGGATTTTACCCTGAATTTTATATTTAACAATATATGTATCTAGATCAAGTACAAGATTTAGAAACAAACTTTTGTTAGTGCTTCCTCTGCTGTTCAGTCAAGCATTCAGTTAAATACCCCCGTTCACTCACATGCCTGCAGCAAAAAAAGTTCAGACTGAACTTAAGCCCTTAAATACCTTTTCCTTTTGTACACTGAATACTTAACTTGTGAATCTCTAGTCTTACCAACATCAAGACCTTAGAAAAGTAGCATCCTCTAACACTGTAACTAGCATTACTTTCTGAACGTCCCAAAGATGCTATTGAATACAAGGTGGCTCACAAAGGTAGGCATTCTTTAAAAAGCTGAAGAGGTGCCTTTTTTTTTTTCTTTTTTTTTTTTTTTGTCTTGTTCCCATGCAGTTAAAAATGTGTTGATTCAAAACAAAACAGAACAACGAGAAAAGATGCAACATTTCCGGTAGGTCGTGAACTCTCAAAGTGCATAAGTGTAGTTTTACTGTTGTGTATGCCACTTTG